AAGCATGCAGAGCGTTATCTGCGGTTCTCTAAATGTCATTAGTTGCAGATTTGTTGGCTCACATGGCAGTAATAGGACAGGCCTACCAAAGCTTGTGTGTTGACATCAGGAATTGGCTCCCAGTTCGTTCTCCTCCTCTGCTCAGCTCGTTTCCTCCTCCTTTGCAGCTCTGGGCCCCTCTCCCACGCCGTGAGCCAGCGTGCCAGGTATGCAGCTGCTGGTCTGCTCTCTCAGCCTCCTCCAGCTGCTCCGGCACCAGGGTCCCAGAGCAGGAAGGATGCTGCAGGCCTCCGTGTTTTGGGTGAGACATGTTGCTATGTGTAAAGTTTGTAAGTACGCCTTGTCTCAAACCTCGAGCAAATCTTTCTCACCCAGTCTTAAGGCCTCTGCCCAAGGCTCTTGGTCTGGAAAGGGGCAATGAAGACGTCAAAGGGATTGAATAAGGTCGCTGACTATCGGGGGTTGTGCACACAGCAGAACCCTGCTAAAAGCAAATATCCCAGGTCCAGGTGAGTGCCACCCTGGTTAGGTGATGTGCCTGTATCGTCCTTCCCATCACCCAGTGTGTGGGCTCCCTCGTGCGCAGGGTGAAGAAATCTTCGAGGTTTGTGGTATTTGGCAACAGGGTTTGTGGTAAAAAAGGAGCCGGTGATGCTCCAGTTTACCTCAAGCCTTATAAACATAGTCGTTTATAGCATTTAAATCACTTGAAATGATAGTTAATTGTCCAAGCACAGTATGGGTAACAAGACAGAGAGTAAAGTTTTCCTGGGAGGAGTTTAGGCATGTTTTCCATTAGCAGTCAGACAGGGGCCAGGGCAGAGGAAGAGGCATGAGAACAGCCTTTCACCATGACCTCACTAAGAGATTTCCCAGCTCTGTAGCGTGACTGAACAAGTGGAAGAAAGCGCAACTGGTTGCAGGCTACTGGTTGCTTTACTGGTGGCTTATTTTTATTTTATAGCAAACTGTCTGAGTACTGAATAAGGATCTAAAAGCCCCAGATGGAAAGATAGGCATGTATCTATGGTCCGTGGGCAGAGACAACAAACAGCCTCGGGACGTGTTGTAGCTGCCGTTGCGTACGTGGCTGGTGAGTGCCGTGCACTCCACTCCAGATGCATCCAGCTTGTGGTGGGTCTGTGTCGGGGTGAATGAACGGTGGAGGTGCTGGGCTTTGTCTGCAGAATCAGCTGGCATGTGCGTGTGTCTCTTTGTTCAGGCATTTCCAGTGTCTGGACATCCTACACCAGTCTCTGCCTTTTTTTTTTTTTTCTTTTTTTCTTTCTGCCTCATCAAAGCTTCTGAACAGGAAAAAGAAGACAGGCAGGGGAGAAACCCCCACGAAGTGAAGCATAGAGCTGGAAAGCTTGGGTGCAGTTCTGTGACCTTTCTTTACACAAGTCCTGGTTCCTGTTCAAACTCAGCATACTGCCAGGGTGAGAAAGGAGCTTGAACGGGGCATCCTAGGCTGCAGTCCCTTGCTGCTTCTGCGAAGGCTGGGGTTTCCTGAGGTGAAGCCTTTGGCAAGCGAGGTATTCCCCGCTGCTCACCTAATTGTGCTGGCAAAGCAGAGGCAGCCCTGTGTTGTGGTGTGGGGGAGGAAATGAGTTGCAAGGGAGAGTGAGAGCACCTTAAACCAGTGTTGCCACCGGAGACTTCACCTTGCAAAACCACGGTGTTCCTCATGCACGTATGTGCTGTGGTTGATGACGGCAGCCAGTTAGCGAGTGCTGAAAGGGAGCGAAAGGAGGGACTGGGGCCTCCGTTCCTCCTGGCTGCTTGGGCAGGCAATGCCTCGCTCTTGTTAGTGTGGCTGTGGGGTTGTGAGCAGTCCCTCGGGTTGTGGGGTCATGGGCGATGACTAACTGAAAACCACAAGGACATCTGTTAACTCTTAAAAACGGGGACTCGTAGAATTAAGATAAATGCGGGCCTTGCAAACTTTGTGGCTATTGCAGAAGAAATGACAAGGTTCAATATATATATGTATAGCCAGTCAAGTGGTTTCTGTGTATTTGGACTCTAGATGTATGAAAACGAAGGCTTTAGCCCAGCCAAACTGAATTCCCTGTATGGGGAATGCATGTAAGGTCAGCAGCTTTACACCCCAAAGCTGTGCATCTGGAGTCATTAAGCACATATATAGGAAGCTGTCCAGGCAGCTGTATCACTTACTGTCCTTCCTACGCTGTCTGCCTTTTGGTTTTGATATTACTGAAAGTTTCAGTAAGAAATGGTTTTTATTGTGACAGATGTTACAAGTTGTCTGTGCCAGTTTCCAAGTCAGAGTGTGGGTTTGCACGGCTACTGCCTTTCCAAGGGCTGGAAGGAGGAAAATACCAGGGTTGGAAATTCCTGGTGAATGCAAGAAGCTGTAAAACCGCGCGCTGGGTGATCTGTGACAGTGTGGCAGGCTGGCGGCCTTGTCCGACTTCTCTTGCTGAAGCATAAAAAGGCGATGTGGAGCTGCAGATACTTTCCTTGATTACTAATGAGAGAAAATCCTAACTACTTGGCTGGTTTTTCTCACAGGATGAATGCTCAGTGTTGTTGGTGAGGTGTTTGTTTTCTTTTTTTTTTCCCTTCTCCCTTCCCCCTGCCCTGGTCTGAATATCTGCATTTGTTTGCAAGTATCCCTCTTCCTGGTAAAATACTAGTTTCAACAGTAAATGCTTATTTGGAAAAGGGTCTGAGGTCGAGGGCGGATTTGAGAGCGAGCAGCTGAATGCCGAATCCCGGGTGGGTCAGCCGTGAGGTGTTTGCCTGCGAGGTGCAAGCTGCAGCCGGGCAGTCTCTGCTCCGGCAGGGTGGGGATTTGTGCAGGCTGGATCCAGACC